CAGGCCAAAGGGTTTTACCCACTCCACCTGCTTCAGAGATCATCTCCAGGCAGAGACCTCCATCTAACAGGTGAGAAAATAAAGGCTGAGGGGATGGGCTCTCTGAGGCTGCCCCCACCAAGCCGAAGGTGAAGCGAAGGCCTGAGAGCTGGTGCCCAGAGGGGCTTTGATCCACACAGGCGAACAAGTCAGAAGGGGCCCTGGTGAGTGAGGTGGTCCACTCAGGGAGTGATAGGGGCAGGGAGAGAGGGTGCCCTGTCATGTGCTGTGTATAATCCGGTTGGTCCGTTTCACACCAGGGATTGATTATCTCCCTCCACCTAATGGTGGCTCTGGGTGAACACCCTACTGGTTTGGGGTGTTCAGTGATTCAGTCTTGCTGCACCATCCTTTGCACAGTGCCTTCCATTTTCAGGATGGAGAAAATATTTTCTTTGTTTTTTTGAGAAGAACTTTAAGCAGCACTTCAATATACAGTGATTGAAGTGGGCTGAGCAGGGGCCCCCAAAGATCTCAGGTCTTAATCTCTGGAATCTGAGAAGGAAAAAGGTCACCTGCGAAGGGAAAAGGGCCTTTGAAGAATTGCCGTGGAGAATTTATCTTTGATTGTCCAGTGTAGGGTAAGTGGTTTTCAGGCTTTTCTGCCCTCCTGCCATTAGGATTGCGTTGCCTGATGGGGCACCTGCAGTTGTTACACTGCTGTGTTGTTTCCTTCTGGGGGCCCCCGGAGGAGTACTGAGATGGTCACCAAGAGAAGCAGAAGCAGAAGAGGCAGGAGAGAGGAGGGGAGAAAGAAGCCAGCGAAGCCCAGAGTGAAGATTTGCCGGGGACTAGGAGGCCTGCCAGCCTCCTGGTCCCCCGCCGCCCTGCCTGCCACGTACCTGTTGCTGCACTCCATGTAAAAGCTCAGTAAAAGCCTGAGAAAGCTGCTGAGGGCGCCAGGACTCCTCCTTTACCTGGTCTGCTCGAATCACAGTAACCCTGCTCCATCCCATCCTGCAGCTACATCCGGGTAGGCCCTGAGTCCAATCACCAGTGTCCTTTTAAGCGAGAGGAGGGAGATTTGGCCCACATAGGAAGGCAGGCAGTGTGCTGGTCCTGGGTTGCAGCACCGAATACCAGAGGCCGGGGCTAGACAGCACATTCATTTCTCGCAATTCTGGGGGCTGGGATCAAGGTGTTTCACGTTCCGTCTGGCGAAAGTGTGATTCCTGCTTTGTAGGCGACCCTTTTCTTGCTGAGTCCTCAGGTGGAAGAAGGGATGAAAGAGTTCTCTGGGGATCTTTCATCTCTGGGGATGAAAGAATCTCTTTCATAAGGAGCCTAGTCCCATTCCTGTGGGTTCCACTTGGGTGACCGCATCACCACCCAAGACCCCACGTTGGAGGGGGTTCTTGATGAAGGTAACCCCTTCTTCACGATGGGAGTTAGGATTTCAACCTACCAATTTTGAGGGCCACAAACATTCAGTCCACCCATCATGTGACCACTGGACCGAAGTGGCCACAAGCCACAGGATGAGTAGGGGATTGCCTCAGCCTGCCCCCACTCCTGGGACGACGAATCAGGAGTCGTCTGTCCTCGCCACCCTCCCCGAGCTCCTGCATCTGCCTGCAGTCACCGGCTGGCGGTGGTGGTGGTGGGGGGTTCCTGTACACTGGATTCTGGGGCAAGGGCTGCGGCTGTTCACTTATTGGGGTTTTCTCTAGGTTCTGTGGACATGAAGATGGTAATGTATTGCGTATCCCACTAATTCTTTGAAAAAGGGAAGTATAGGACATTTAGGATGGGTCAGTTTGTGTAAGGATTGGGCCCATTCTAATGGGAGCCCAGACAGAAGCTTCTAGAGGAAACCCAGGACCTGACTGAGTCCCTCTGACTAAAACAGGGCACGTCAAGAAATCAGCAAGGGGGCCTCCCCTGGTGGCGCAGCGGCTGAGTGCTGGGTTGCGAGGCTGCCCGCGGCCTCTGCAGCTCCAGTTCGATCCCCCACCACCGGCGAGGGTCCCACAAAAAAAAAAAAAAAAGAAAGAAAAAGAAATCAGCAAGGGCAGAATTCTGGATCTGAACTCTATTGACTTTTCATCTAGATGATGTCTTATGTGGATTTTTAATTCTCAGTGAGAACTGAGTCACTGGAGGGGGTATTGTTAAAATGTTAAAGCCTCTTTTTTTTTTTTTAAAGATTGATTGATTGATTGACTGATTGATTTATTTATTTATTTATACAAGCACTGGGTACAGTCAGAAGCGCGGGAGGGTGAGAGAATTCACCAGAGCCAGAGCGGGGAGCAGAGCAGGCAGAAGGACCGAAGGACACTGCTGAGGGGAGCAGCGGGCGGCAGGAGAGGTCTGCGCGCCATGTGGGACCCTCGCCAGGTGGCCAGGGAGCAGCTGGGGATCGAACCGGCGCTGCAGAGGCTGCGGGCAGCTTCGCAACCCAGCGCTCAACCACTGCGCTACCGGGGAGGCCCTAAAATGTTAAAGCCTCTTTATGTTACTTTTTTATTTGGAATATTTTATACTATCACTTGGACTTATTGCAAAATTTTCTCCTTAGCCCGGGTGCCCCTGAAGGCAGAGCCCGGGATAAAGCGTGTGCGAGGGCTGCTTATTTGGAAAGCGACTAGGGAGTGGGAGGCCAGAGAAGCAACACAAAGACGCTGGTCCAGGGATGCTGCATGGAGGTCACTGTCGCCATGGAGACGGCAGTCCCTTGTCATGAGACCTCCTGAGCTTTGGAAAGGAAACTCCTAACTGGCTCCTGGGGCACAGATGGTACTCCCTCCCCCTATTAAAGTCCTGGGTGACCTATGGGTGTTTAACACCCCTCCTCCTAGGGTACACTGTCAAGTGGCACAGATATGAACCTGGTCAAATTGGCATCAGGAGCTGTGGTAAAAAGGGTGCTCACCAGGACATGTACCTTTACCAGTGCCATGAACCCTAGTGGGTATAGACACACACACACACACACACACCCCTACTGGTCTGGGCGGGGACCCTGTTTCGGACGGTCTGTGAGGTAAAAACCATTTCCTTCATAACAATAAGATGCTCTCTTTCTCACTCTCATCCTTTCTCGAGCGTGGAGTGTTCCAGAGGCTTTATCAAATGCGTGCTGTCAGAACAGACTGGCTGCAGAAGCAGGCAATCAGCACACAGCTGTCTTCCATTAAGCCAGATGCTAGAGATTTGCAAACAAGTAAAACAAGTCCCCTCGGCGAAAATCTTTTTGGAAGTTTTTTTTTTCCATAAAATTTTAAATATACCAAAATAATTGTTTTTAATAAATATTTTTAAAGATTTGCTTTCATTTCTAAGTGCAACTCACAAACACAAAAGCTCCTTGGCGCTTACTGAGTATAAAGCATCTGAAGATTTTTGAAAAGGGAGAATCACTGCACTGAAGTGATCACGACTCACAAAGGATGGCAGCCCACGGTCTGAAGAACACTGGGTGGTTGCGGTTGGGAAGCAGAGTGCCTAGGTTAATTTAGGGTTACAGTGAAGGGTTAGGGGCCCCCCTGGTGGCCCAGGGGTTAAGTCTCAGCGCTATCACATGATCCCCGGCCAGGGAGCTACCCACACATGGCACAGCAGACCTCTCGTCACACCTGCTGCGCCCCTCAGCAGTGTTTCAGTAGATCTGCCTGTTCTGCTCCCCGCTCTGTCTCTGGTGAATCCTCTCACCCCGCACCTCTGGTCTACACTCCAGTTTTTCTATGCAAAAATAAAATCTTAAAAAAAAAGAAAAGTGCAAGGGTAATGACAGGCCTATTCTGACCCCTTTCAAAGCCTCAGGCCCATGAGTGGCCTGGCCTGAGGGGAAGGGGACTGCCTTGCTAAGGGCCGCCCTGTCTTCTAGAGCACAGCACTCCCCTGGCCAATGGCGGTTGGGGAAGTCCAGTGGGTGTTGTGCCCAGGCCCCCTTCAGGCCAATGAATCAAAACTCCTGGGAGTGGGACATTGGCTCTGCTCTTCCTTTTTATTGAGGCATAACTTCCAACAAGGGCGGGAGGGAGCCTTAAGGTCTGACTGTGACAGGCTGCGTTATACCCGGGTAAGCACCACCCTCGGGAGACGCAGCTCCCAACTCAGCAGCAGGCGTGCTCGTGTCTCCCGGTAGCTACTACCTCTGTCCCAATAGTCATCACCATAGCTTCGTTTTGCTGTTTTTGCACCTCTATGAAAGGAATCATCAGTGTGTGTGTGTGTCTGGCCTTTTTTGTCCAACACGATGACTTTGCTATTTATGGATGCAGTTCACTCGTTTGCGTGGCGGTGTGGTTTTCAGTTGTCAGGCCAGTTTGCTGACCACTCTTCCTTTGCAGTAGGTGAGTCTCCTTAACAGCTCCCAGGTGTGGTGACATGCTCCTCCCATAAAATAATGGAAATGGTGACAAAGGACAGCGACTCCCACTGCTCATGCACCCTGGGAAGGTTACTGCAATGGAAGTCTTAGTTTTCCCACCTAAAATTACTCGTCTTCCTTCGAAGGTATAGTTAAATTGGCAAAAGTTAAATGCGTGTATGACACATTCCAGTTCTTACAGGAATACACGCCCCCCCAGAGGCCAGACTGGTGCAGAGACTCAGGGTTGCCAAATGAGTTAGAGTTGGTCCTAGTGACCAACTGTCTACTTTTGCTAAGTTATACATGGTTTATTTTTTAAAATTCATTTCCACCTAACCTTCTTATCTGAGCCACATCCAGGTGTTCATAAGGCAGTGTCATTCAAATCCTTCAATCCTCTCAAGTGTGCTTCCCCAAGTACTGTCCAATTTTGAAAAAGGCATAACCATCCACTCTGTTCCTTGAGGGGAAAAAAAAGCCTTTTTTTTTTTTTTTTTTTTTGAAAACGCAGCCTAACTATGTATATAGAATGCTAAGCCAGTTTTAGAATCAATCCTGTAGCTTAGAGGAAAACCAGGTCACCGCTCATTTGGGGCCCCTGGTTGTGGCAACAACATGTCACTCCTCCAGCACCTCAATATAGTTTCTCTTCAGTTGTTCCTATGCTGCACAGGGAGTGGCTTTGGATTCCTCCGTGTGACAGAGAGGTCCAGCCCTGAGGAAGGCCGGTAGCCCACATCCTCTGCTCTCATAGGCGCTATGATATGGCCTGGCTTGGTGACAACTGTGGGAGCGGTCAGACTCTGGAAGGCCCTCTGGGTGTTCCACATACATCCTGTGGGGGTCTGGAGGGTCCTTTCAAATTGCTGACAATAGGCGAAAGGATAGGGAAGCACCCGTACCCGGTGGGCTGCTGCCTGGATGTTTCGATTCTCGTTTATAATCACATTTGGCAAATCCTTGTCTTTTCTTGGGGGACCCTCAGGGGCTTTAATGAGAAACCTGTGTCGCTTCTGGGCACTGGGCTTTGGGCACACGCCACCCCACTCGCCCCAGCCAGGCAGGGTCAGGTCTGTGTCCTTCGGCTTCCCGGCCTCCACAGCTTCCCTCTTCTCTTTGAAGAAGTCTCCGATAACATCATCCCCAGCAAAAGCTTCCTCTATCATCTGCTTCTGACTGTCTTCCTCACCTCCCGTCCCCTCCGCTGTGGTGGGAGCTGCTGGAGACCTCCTGGAAGAGTCTACGGTGAGGAGTTTCTGCAGATCAATCACTTGTTCCTTCATTTTCTTCTTGGGGGCAACGGGGGGACCACTGGGGTTCCTCGCTCACCGCTGCCCTGCTAACACAGGCCTGAGATGGGCCTTATTTTGAAAGCATCTCTGTCTGCTCAGCTCCTCTTGCACTCGCGGAGTCTGTGTTCGCTCTGGCCCCTGCAGCAGGGCCTCTGCTTCTTCCTCGGCAGGTTCTTCTCTCTGGACTGGCAGAACCACGCCCGCTGAACTCACCTGCTGCTTCCCTGATGGATGGTGTTCCTTGTTGAGTTTCGGAGGGAGTGTCCTCAATTTAGACAGCAACTCCCAGCTGCTAAAATCTTTTGCTTCTTGACTGCCCCCCAGCTCAGCGTCCTGGCTGAGCCCAGACATTTTCCTAAGTGACTGTCTTTCCTCAAATTCTTTCAACAAAATTTCCTCTGCCACGGATTCTCCTGCTTCCTTGCTTTCAGAAGCCTTGGGGGCCGCAGTCTCTGAAAGTTGTTCTGGGGGCTTCTGAGTTTTCTCCTCTCTTGTGTCGCCAGAGAGACTGCCAAGGATCCAGGGGTTTGGAGCGTGTCCATCCATCGGTACCTCGTTCACCGCATCAGGGACAAGGCGCTCCCCTCCCTCCCGCTCCTCCTCGCTCTCGGAGGTTGCCCGGAGTTTCTGTATCAGTTCTTTGTTCCTGGCCAATTGTTCCTGCTTGGCCTGGCGAGTCTCCAGGTGGTACTGGGCCATAATTGCCTTTGACCTTGCCCACTTCCCTGTGTTCTGGTGCCTGAGGCTCATTCGCTCCATCATTCTGGTGCTTTCAATTTTTTCCAATAGCCCCAATGCTGCATTAGGATGGACCTTCTGCAGCGCCTCAAACTCTTTCAGGGATGTCTTGGCCTTTTCTTTCTTCAGAACTTTGTGGTACTTCTTGCTTTTGATTTTCCTCTCTCTTCGAGCCCTGGCCTCATAGTAAGACTGCAGGGCGCGGGCCTTCTGAAGCTCGCTTCGGCGCATCTTAGCCTCCTCCAGGCTCATGGCTTCGAGAATGGCCTTTTCCACGGGAGTAAGCAAAGGCTCTGCCACTGGCTGCTTGTTCTTATGCAGGAGGTTAAAAATTTCCTGCTCCAGGGGTGTTCTTGCCTTCCAGCCACTGAACACATGTTCCAGAGGGGCAAAGGCCGCCGACTCCTGGTTTAGGGGAAAAACCAGCTGCTTCGCTCGCCGGTTCTTCAGAACAACAGGCTCCCATTTGGAAAGGGCTCGTGAGGTTTGACTGAACGCCACCTCCCTGTGGATCCGTTCTGCTTCCTCTTCACTACGGGGTAACTCTACAATCTTCTTTGATTTGACTCTATTGAGTTGCCTTTTCACTGTGGCCAGTGAGGATGGTGCTTTAATAGACTCAAACAGATCGGAAAGGACCAGTTTTTCTCCTGACCCTTCAGAACTGACATTGAACTCTGACACCTTCAGGCTAGCTTCAGATCGCTCAGGCAGTTTCCACCCGTTCTTTCTATCAAGGGAAATGACTGCTTCCAGAAGTTTTTGGTGCTTTCTCTCTCCCTCACTGGCCCCCTCCTCTTCACTGGTGCTCAAGGGGTCATCTTTTGGCAAATCCTCTAGTTCTTCCTGTTGGTCTAGAGCCAGCAGGTTCTTTGCAGCCTGGATAGCACTCATCTCAGCAGCCTCTCACGCCAGCCAGAAGTGGAAGTCGAAATTTCAGACTCTACTCAGGTCCTTAATCCAAAACAAATAAAACTAGGAATGACCTCTGACCGCAACTTCTCTCCGTAGTGTGCCCACCCTGCACAATCAGACCCACCCACCCAGTCAATCCGCTGTGTCTCCAGCAAATGTTTTAAAGCGGTCGCGACTGCCCAGCTCACTGCTGCCACTCTGTGCTAGGGGCAGGAACTTCTGCCTGGACTAAAGTAACAGCCCCCCACTGACTTCCTGAGTTCTGCACTCTCAACTCAGCCCAGAAGCCCTCCCAAATCCATTTCCCATCCACCTGTCGGAGCAACTTTTTAAAAACATGTATCAGGCCACGTCTTGCCTTTCCTTAATAGCTCAGTGCCTGAAATTCATGACATACACTTGATTCACGCTTCCTAAGCTGCCATACAAAGCCCTGTATGATTGGGGTTGCGTGTTTCCCTCAGGGCACACCCCAGACCGCACCTCCCTTGTGCTGTATGATCTAGGACCCCTGCTGTCCGGCCTTCCCCAGGACACAACAAACTGCCCTCTGGAAGGTCTCTGCCCTCGGCGCTCCTTACTTGGAAGCCCGCCTCACTCCACAGTCTTACTGGCTCTTGTTTGGATAACCAAATCCTAATCTATACTGTCTTTCTGAGTGGCCTCCACTGATCACCAACCTTTACTTTCTAGAAGATAATACTATCTTAGTCCTCTGCATAGTACCACCATACATTTTCACATTTATCTATCTGCTTCGTCTGTCTCAGAATGCCTCCAAAACACAGGTTCTTTGAGAGAGAATTCACATCACTGCTATCACCTGTGTAGAATACCTGGTACATAGTCAACACTCAATAAATATTTCTGTTCTAGACATGAACCTGATGGCAAGGCCACGCACATTAAACATACCCTTTCCCCAAATCAAAGAACTTGAATTCTGGGTCCTCTAAAACCAAACAGCTGAAAGGATACAATTGCCCTTTGCAAATAACAACTGGAGCATCTTATACTTCCTTTTTTTCCAAGTCTGCTACATGGCAATCCACTAATTTATTTATTCTGTCCATTAATGGCTAATATATGGAGGCATTTATAATATTAACAGAACTTAACCCAAGAGAGGCTCAATTTTTTTTCCATTTTAATACTGAGTCAAATTGTGGTCAAAAATTATGTCAGCAATTTAAAACAAGGGCCTCCCCTGGTGGCGCAGGTGGTTGAGAGTCGCACTGTGAAGCTTCCGCAGCCTCTGCAGTGCCAGTTCTATCCCGGCTGGCCAGCAAGGGTCCCACATGGTGCAGCAGACCTCTCCTGTCTCACCCGCTGCTCTCCTCAGCAGTGTATTTCGTCGGTCTGCCTGTTCTATTCCCCGCTGTGACTCTGGGGAATCCTCTCACCCTCCCATGCATCTGGCTTGTACCCCAGTTCTCGTATAAATAAATAAATAAATCTTAAAAAAAACCCCAACAATTTAAAACAAATGCTTGGTATTAGTCTACATACAATTCAGTTTTTGGTGTAAGAAAGGTCTTTGGTTGCTAGAAAGAACATTTGGTTTACTTCACTAATAGGAATATCTCTTAGTGCTGGGATGGCCTCTTCTTGGTATTTCTTCTGCTGTTGATTTTTAGCATAGTTATCTGTAAGAGGACAAAAACTCTGCTTACCCAAGTCATTTCTTCTATAGTCTTTGTGTTTTAATGGAGGCCCACCACATAGTTTACAAGGCTAATGTTTGCATAATAACAAATACCATGCTTAACATAATTAAAAGATGACTGAAATTCTCTCTTTAGAAGAAAAATCCCAATTAGAATAAAAACCAGCAAAGTACTTTTCACATCTCTAATGTGGGTAAGAAACTAGTATTTTATTCAACTGTGTAATGATGACTAAAGTCCCATAAAGGACGGAATTATACCTAAGCTTAGAAAACATTTAAATCAATAAATCAATACCCCCAAACAAATCATTTGGTACAAAATCATTCACGTAAGCTTAATTTCCCCTTAATTGCACAGACTATACACTATAATTCTAATTAAGAATGCAGGAATATTAAAGGTTATCAGAAAATATATATATAAATACTATGATTGATTTTCAAAATATACTGCACAGGCTCATGAAAAAGGCTTTGAATGTTAAAAAAAAACATACTAGAGAACTGAAAAGCTACTTTACTCCCTAGAATCTAAGCAAGTTCAGTACTTCTATTTAAAATAATGAATAAAAGAACTTAAAGAAAATAAAACTACAAAAACACACCATGGTTCTCCTGCCACTTAGTTGGAATCAGGAATACTCAGAGGTCCTGAGGACACTCCCCCACCCCTCACCAGATTCCTCCTTCTGACGAGGTCTACATGGACCTACTTGATCCAAGTGCCTGTTTAGGATTAAGACTGTTTCTCTCAAAGTTGCTGAGGAACACAGACTTGTGACTTTTATGGGAAAATATACCTGTTAACTAGTGTTGTAAACCAGCATATTCATCAGAACTTATTTCTGCCATGTAAACATCTGCTCCTGTCTAACTATATTTCTCCTCCAGTTGTTTTTACTGGGTCAATGCATAAAAAGGATTGCAGCCTGTTCTGGGTTACTCTTCTGGACAAAGTGCTAGTACCCCATCCTCCCTGCCCCAGGTACCTTCTTTTGATATAACTTTACCTGTGATTGTATGAATGGAGTTGAGTGGAGAGGTACTCATCATGTTTACTCCAAATAAGAGGACGTAGCCGATGACAATAGTAATGAGGAGGTAGACAGGCAAGGCCACCGCCCAGTACCTGTGGGAGAGGATGTGAATGCAGGAGAGACCTCCTCAAGAGTGGTAATTCTCGAGTCCATTTCCAAGTTTACAGACTAATTTTTAAATAAAAATTTAATTTTTATTGAAGTAATACACACACATAAAAGACAATCAAATAGTTCTATGAGAGCTACAGTGAAAAGCTGTAATCCCATGACCCACCTGTCTGGGCCCTGGAGTTTTAATTCCCCAAAAAGGGACAATATCAGTACCTGAGCTGTTCCTTTGGTATTTATTGCCACGCAGTTATACAACCTGTTCAGATTATTACTTGATTTTTTTGATTTCATTTTTTCTGGACTTCCTAATATAGAGATGAGTAATTTAATTCATTTACACCTTGCATCTTACCTTCTTTTTAGCCTTTTACAATATATCACATTTCTGGTCATATCAGCTGTTATTAAAAATCATTGACTACAGAATGTTTGCAACTGAGTATATTAGTGTATTATTTACTTTGTTTTTTTTTTTTTTACATGTTTTTGCTTTTCCTGGAATCAGGAATCCTATCTTTTAGTTTGTTTGGTTTTCATGTTATCTATCAATATCCTATTCTCCAGTTCTCTGGCAGGCTGTAATACACTTCTCAAAGTAGCTAAGCACACAGAGTACTCTACGTTAAAGCCTTAGTAGGGGCATTGTTTCTTTAATAATTTCCTTCTTACTGTTTTCTATTTCTGGAACTTTTAAGAATTAGGTTTTTTACCCTGTTATACTTTCCTCACCTTTATATTCCATTTTGCTACCTTTTGTTCTACTTTCTGGAGATTAACTTTGGTTTAACTTCTAAACCTTTAATAATCCTTTGGCAAGTCTATGTGTAATTTCCAAATTCCCTGAACACTCCCTGTTTGTATGTAGCATTCTGTTGTTTCATGATTATAGTCTTTCCTTATCTCTGAGCATTTTGTTTTTTAAAATTTTTCTTCTGTCCTTGCATTTATCTCCATTTCCTTCAAGTTCTCTGTTTTCTTTTGGCTTTCACTTTAGAGGCTTAAAAAAAAAATGTGTGGTAAGTCACAGCTGTCCATTCCTATTTAAAAATGAAGTGCTGACAGGTTAACTGGAAGCACCGTGTACGTGAGCTGGACGGCCGACCGTGTGCTTGCTACAGGAGACACGGCCATTTCACTGGGGACCAGCAAATGTCAGAAATTATAGATCCTTGCTCTTGAGCTGATCAACTCCCTCAGGAAGGAACCTCCTACCTTTGGTTGGGGGGAGGAGGGCAGTACGAGCCTGGCAACAAGCCTGAGAGCCCAGTGAGGAAGGTGTTTGGGAGAATTTTATTCAGTGATGCAGATTCCCATTTTAGTAAGGTGCCTCACTGCCACTTAGACTAAGTGCCTAGAGAGCTTCATGCAACTTTCCACAGAGTAAAACTTCTGTAGAGGAGAGGTGGAGGTCAGTTACGTCTCACTTATGTGCCATCTACTTTTCCCATTACCTGTTCCTATGGCTTTTCACTTAAAAAAAATTTCCCTCCGGGCCTCCCTGGTGGCACAAGGGGCTAAGTACCACACTATGAAGCAATCTGCAACCTCTGCAGCACGAATTCGATCCCCAGCCAGCCAGGGAGCAACCCACATGGCGCAGCAGACCTCTCCTGTCTCGCCTGCTGCTCCCCTGAGCAGTGTATTTCAGTCAGTCTGTCTGTTCTGTTCCCCGCCCTGGCTCTGGTGAATCCTCTCACCCCCCACACCTCTGGCCTGTACCCCAGGTCTTGTGTGCATAAATAAATAAATCTTAAAAAAAAAAAAATTTCCCCCCATCTCTAAAGGGGGTTATGTTAACAAATGTTGGGAGGGAACTGAGATAAACATTGTTTACCACTGTTAATTGGAAGTCTATTAATAATGATATTTAAAAAGCTTTCTATTTCTATATGGCTATTTATGGATCTTAAAAGAATAAATTCTTAAAATTTGGGGAGTCTTAAGCAAAAACCTGACCCTTCAAAACAGCATTAATAGAATTATGTTATTTAAGAAATACAATAAACTTACTTTTGAGGCCAATACGTTAAGCCTAAGGAGTTTAGCCAAGATTCAGGAATGAAAGCCCATACAAGATAGAGAACTGTAGAGAGAAAAAAATATATAAAAGAAACATCAATAAGGCATGCATCTAGATTATAAAGGTTTGCATAAAACAAAGGGTCCTTTGAAGCATCCCTGATTTTTAACTCCTTTCAGTTCTTCTAACTCCTTTTTGTACCATTCTTGCTATACTTACACAACATTATTTTAGTCATTTTTTCAATTGTGTTAAAAGAAGATAAAATTTACCATCCTAAACCACTTCTAAGGGTATAGTTCAGTAGTGTTAAGTATATTTGCATTGCTGCAGATTTCCAGAATTATTTTATCTTGCAAATCTGAAACACTATACCCATTAAATGACACTCTTTCCACCATTTCTAATTTTTTTTCCTAACATATCTTAAATCTCATACTATTATTTTAAGCACTTTAAGGGGAGAAATCATGTTGTAGCAGTGGTTGCATTCCTCACAGCATTTAGCAGTTGGCTTTACGCACAGTAAGTGTTCCTAACACTTTATCCACCTGGGGTTGAACTAATTTTAGACTTTTAGTTGCTTAAAGGTGAGTCTATTTATCCTTGTTCTGGCTCACGACGTGCCTTATTCCCAAAGTGCAATCTTATTTCCCTCAATCCTAGTCATGGTGGCACCCTTTGCAGCTGTCCCTACGTAATAACAATGGCTAACCTGTTATCTACTGTGGGGTAAGCACGCTTCCAAGCACCTTATACACATAATTTCACTTCACCTGCAAAACAATTCTATGAGATTTGGATGCCATTTTTAGAGACAAGGAAATGGTATCTTGGACACGTTACATCATCTGCCCCAACTAAATGGCAGAGATCAATTTCAAACTACCTGTTATCAATAATGAGGGATTCATGTTATCGTGACAAGGACGTGTTACAGAACTTTCTATTTCAGAAATATAATAAAACGGTGAACCCCAAAGTGATGGCATCTCTGTCCCCCCCAATTTAAAAATCTAGTGGGAAAGGTACTCATAAACTGGTATTTTCACTACACTGCGATTAAGTGCCAACGAGCAAGTAATAGGGACAGGGTCCGAGGACCTTAGCTCACCCTGGCAGAGATATTAATGATCAGGAAAGCTCTCCTGGAGGAAGTGCATAATGGGGCCTAAAGGATGACTAGATTAGCCACATTAAAAAAATGCATGTTTGGGGTCTGCAGCTGAGTTGTCCTGTAGGGTTCAGAAGCACTCCCCTCCACCCCAGGTTTCCACAAAATGCCAAAAAGGTGGCTCACGGGCACACGACCTTCCCCCTTTTTGTTTTGTTTCCCTCATAATTCTCACATCTTTTTGGGGCAAGATATTGAGCAGGTTGTGTGACTCTGGGCATACTGGTGTCTCAGTGAGCATCAGTTTTCTCATCTGCAAAATGGGACCTTGTGAAGACAGTGCGAGATGCATGACACGCAGCGCGTCCTTACTGCCCCTCCAGCGCTCCAGCAGGCTGCCCAGGAGTCAGGCCAGACCCTTCGTTCAAGGCCTTCGGGTTTTACTCCGGGGCTCTCCTAGGGCACTTACTACACTTCATGAATGACAACTGTTCATTGCACATCACACTGTCCTCTCATGACCGCCGTCTGCGCGGGGTCCAGGCGCGTTCACCTGGGACCCTGTGCAGCGCTGTGTCAGCACCCGCTGAGCCGAGGCCTCTCAGGCGGTGTCTGGCAGACAACACCCGACCCACAGCAGTTCTGAGGGCGGTTCGGGTGCGCACCTTCTGAGAACAAAGGCTGTAACGTCCTGTGCGTCCTGCCACACCAGACAGGGCCCTGGCCGTCCGTCAGGATGGTACTTACTGAAGCCAAACTGGGAGCTTAAGAAAAGGACAAAGCCATAAATCGCTCTTTCTGGCAATGGCGACGGTGAGTTTTCCACCATTTTCCTCGCGGCTTGAGACACTCTGTGGGGAAGAAAGACAAGTGTCCGTCAGGGATCGCCTCCGTCCCCATTGGTCCATTCTAACCTCATCGCCCGCTCGGGCGCAGCCTCTGCGCGAAGCCCCTGCAGCGCGCCGGCCGCGCACCTCAGCAGCCCCGCGCGCGCCAGCCCAGCGCGCACGCGCACAGCCCCGCGCGCGGCCCACACGTCAGAGCGCGCGCGACCCGCGGGGGGCTGAGACCCGGGTGGGGGGGGGGCGATGCCGCTCCGACCCCGCCGGCCTCGCCTCCCTGCGGGAAGGGCAGCGCTGGGCAGGACCTCCCGGGCCTGAGCCGCGGCGCCCGGGACCCGGCCCTGCCCCCTCGGTGGGCTTCGGTTTCTCACTCGAGTCTGGGTGGGGGAGACCCTCGGCCTCGGGCTCTTCTTGCGCCCCCTCCCGACAGCTCCACCGCCTCAGCGCGGGGTCCACGTGCACGCGCCGGCTGGGGAGCCGCATTGGGGGCCCGGGGAACGCTAGAGAAAGTGCCAGAAAGGCTCCGGCGCATGCGCAGCGCGACGTTCGCGCGGCGGACGCGCGCGCGCGCGAGGGCCGGCGGGATCGCTGGGCTCGCCGCCGCGGAGGGGGAGGGGCGGCGCGGCGCGTCTGCGCATGTGCGCGCGCCCACGTGACGCGCCGCCCACCCGCGCCCGCCCGCCCCGCGGCTGACGTGGAGGGCCCGAGGCGGCGGCGGCTGTCCGCGTCCGAGGCTCGCGGGCGGCGGGCCCCGGTGAGTGCACACCTGGCGCGCGGCGGGGCCCTCGGACGTGTCACCTTGTCGCGCTGCAGCCGAGATGCCCGGGGCGCGGGCCCTCCACACCCCCTCCGTGGGTGTGTGGTGAGTGTGGTGTGTGCGCGTCGCCCGCGTCGCTCGCGGGGCGTCTCGCGGGTCGGAGCCGCGGCGCCGGGGGTGTGGCCGCCTCCGCCGGCCCCGGGGGGTGTGTCCCCTGGGTCGCGGGTGCCCCGTGCTCGTCCCGGGGTCGGGGCGAGGCGCGAGCGGCCCCTTTGTGCGCGCATCCCCGGGCGCCCCGCTCCCGCGCCCCAGTGACACCCCTCCTGGCGCGCCCCCGCCGCCCGTGTTTTCCGGGGTCCCTCCCGGCAGGGGCTCCCCGGCCTGGGTGGGGGCCCCTTTCTGTGTCCCTCTCGGGGTGGGCCGGCGCGCCCCCCGCCCGGAGCGTCGCGGGCCCGGGGCGGCGTCCTCGCGTGGCCCCGCGCGCCCGGGCGGGGTGTGTGGTCGCGCGTGTTCGAGAACGTTCTGTGCTCCGTGTTGTGTTCTCACGTCTGCGCCTCCGTGCTCGGGGGCCGTCGCCGCCCCCGCGACCCCGGGAGGGGACTGGAGCCCGGCGCCCCCTCCCCGGCGCCCCTCGGAGCGCCGTCCCCGCCGCGGGCGCGCCCGGGGGTGGGGGCCCGCTGCGCGCCCGGCCGGCTGTGGCGCAGCGTCTGCGGGGCCGGGGAGCCTGTGCCGTGAGCTGCTTCGAGGAAGAAAAGGGGGGGCAAAACTCGAACCGAGGCAGAGGTGCACTGGGGCTGGTACCGGGGCGGGGTGCCTTCCTACGGGCGCCCGGCGGCCCAAAGCCCTTGGAGCGAGAACTCCTTCCAAAACACACGCGCTCTCGCCAGACCTGCCGGCCTTTAGCGGTTCCTGGGGTGTTTCGGGCGTTCACGCCCGTAATTACTGCTGCTTTTCTTTCCGCCCGCCGTAACGGTGAGAGGCAGAAGGCAGTGGATTGAAGATTTTACTCCACCTCCCTTGGGAGCAGCCTCCTCATAGTTCCCACTCGAGTTAAGACATTTTTTATTGCAAGAAATTTGCATTTTCGCCTGTGGAGAGTGGGGTTCATTACGAGGCTACGCAGGGAAAGAAACCTCTAATCCATTAGGCGCCCAGCTCTTCCTCCTCTTGCTAAGGTTCGTGCTCTGCGCTCGAGGGCTGCATTTTGGTGTCTGTTTCTTTGTTCATTGGCTCAATTTTCTTGCTCTTATCTAATACTCTTTTTTTCTTTTTAATTTCTGGAATGTTTCACATATAAAATACAGAGGGGGCTCTAACCAATCCGTGACTCAAAGATTTACAGATGGAATTATTTTGCCAAATTTGCTTCAGATCCTCTATAAGAATAAAATAAAATTACTGATATTGGAGGTGCTATCAGTTCCTCCCCCACCTTTCCTAGCGGTGTCGACCGTGCTCAGGTTTGTGTGTATTCCCTTGTATATTTTATACCTGGATCACCGTGAATCCATTCACAATATATAGTATTGTGCATTTGAATTTTAATGGTGTTAAATGATATGTATCTTTTTTTGCAACTTGCTTTTTTTCACTCAGCATCACATTTTGATATTTATATGTGAATAAATTGGATAATTATGTTATCTTTGGCTCATTCATGTTAATTGCTGGTATAGAATTCCATTGTATGAATATACCATAATTTATCCATTTTCCTGTTGATGGACTTTGAAGTTGTTTCTGGTTTTGGATACTTAAAATCAATCCTGCAATAAACATCTTTGTACTTGTCTGCTCGCGCACACTTGGAAGTTTCTCTAGGAAATAAATACACCTAGTAGTAGATTTGCTGCATAGTAGGATATGTGCATCTTCAGCTTAACCAATTATTACAGAAACTCTCCAAGTGGTGGTACTGATTTTCACTCTCAGTGGTATTGAGTGAGGACACCCATTTCCTCACATCGTTGCTAACACTTTCTGTTATTGGACTTACATTTTTGCCTTCTCTTTACTGACCAGCTTCCATATATCTTTAGCTTGCAGCTCAATTTGCTTGCCAGCCACCTTGGCTTCTGCGATAGCCCTGTGTCAGCTTATGGGTTCATCTCTCACAGCTAACTGGCTCAGTCTTATTTCATTTGGTCCCTAAGATTAATTCCAAAAAACGTTTATTTTGTACCTGATTATGTCAGTTCCTATGGATAATGTAAAGATAGTAATTTCCATGGTATGTTACATGTATCTCTAGTAGCTGGTGAGGTGATTTTAATTAAAAAATATTTTAATATGATAAGTGGTTTTTAAATTTTTTCTTCTTAATGTAATATTTAATGCATTTAAATATATGTACCATATATATAAATTGTGAAGCAAAACAATAAAATGAACTGTCAATCTATTACTGATCCAAGAATCAATGACCAATACTGAATATGTTCCTCTCTAGTGACTACTATTCTAAATTGTGTGTATGTCGTTCTTTGCTTTTAAAATTCTTTTTCAGATATGTATCTATCTCTTGACAATGTATTGTATGTTCTCTGATATTTTAAGTTAAAACACTGGATACAGTTTTCTGGGACTTGTTTATGTCACTTGGTGTTATGTTTTTAATAATCACTAAGGTTTGAGTTTAGATGTTAAGTTACTAATTTTCACTGCTGTGTGATATTCCACGGTGAATATAACACAGTGAATGCATTCTTTTGTTAATGGACATTTTGATTGATTTTTTTTTTTACCATTATGAAGATTTTTATACATCCATCTAGTACAGTGTTGCAAGAATTTCCCTAATTCTCATACTGGGGTATATGACCCCCAGGAGAGGAATGAAAATCTTTGAGGAATACTTGGGCACAAGTGATGTTAATGAATCAATTTACAAATCATTAACTTACAAATGTATGCTTTCCTAAAATTGGTAATGCGGGAGGCCTGTGATAGAGTCTTCCCACTGGCTCAGCTCTCCCACCTTCCCTTTCACAGTAATAACTTCTACCCTAAGAAAGGCATAGCACTCACACACGGAAGCTTTACAGGGCCCTCCATAGACCCAAGTGGAAAAATTCCATGAAAAACACAAGGATAACTTAAAATGCAGTGTACAATGTCAGGGAAAGCCTCATTTAATCCAGGCACCGCCCCATCCATCTCCTCAAGAGCTGAATTTCCAACAAAATTTCCCTTTTTATGATTAATTTTTATTGTACGTAGTTATTTTTGAACAATTGTATGCTTATCATTTAAGCCAGTGCTGTTTCATTTTAAAATGTTACTATATCAGAAATTCATTCTTTGCAATTTAAACTTAAATGTTTTAGATGTAATTTTTAAAAGCATTTTGGTGGTTTTTGAGCAAAAAAAAAGTTGGAATAACCACTGTGTTAAGTTATTTGCTAGAAGTGCAATTGCTGGGTAATGGGATATGAATAGTCAACTCTACAGAATGATACCAAGTTTTCTGCAGAAGTGTTTGTACTAGCTTCTACTTTGGGGAGCAGTTTTGACCAGCAGTGTCTAAGATTTAAAGTTGATTTACACCTCTCAAACACTTGTTATCATCAAATGGATTATGAAGTGATGTGCCATTGTAGTTTTAATTTGCCTTTATTTGATTACGAATGAAATTGAGCATCTTTTGTTTGCAAGCCCTTCGTGTTTCCTTTGTGAAATATCTAGCCATGTCTCTTACCCATTTTTTTCTGTTGTGTTACCCTTCAAAACTAATTGACTGAAAACACTGATCATATACATTGTAAATTTCTAATTCCAGTTCCCATCCTGTCTTTTTCACTTTTATGGTGTATTTTGGTGAACAGAAGCTCTTAATTTTAATGTACTTAATGGCATACCTTCCCTGCCTTGGGGTTATAGAGACATTTTCCTTTGTTTCTTTTCAGAAGCTTTTAAAATATTTTTCACACCTTCAGTTCATAATCCACCTGCAGTTGATTTTTGTGTGTGGTGTGCGATAGTGATCCATTCACCCCCCCATGTTGGTGTAGTTGTCCTCCTGCCATGTACTGGATTGGCCTTCTGCTCACCTGTCATCTGCTGCACCACCTCTTTTACACCATTCGTTTCTGTACGTTCCTGGCTCCTCATTCTGTGTCACTTGTCCATTTTCTCCCTCTGTGCTGCTAACACACTGTTGTAATGACTCATGATGTAGTTTTGTCAGAAGTCTTGATACCTGGTGGACTTGAGTTTCAGCTTTCTTGGACCTTTGTTCTTGTTTTAAGAATCAGCTTGTCACGTGACATGAAAAACCCTTTGGGAATTAATTGGAATTGATTGGCTCAATTTGGGGAAGAATTGAAATCTTTAAGATTTTGAGCCTTCCTGTCTGAGAACATGGTACGTATCTTCATTTACTTAGGTTTGCACTGTCTTAATAATTTTGTAATTTTTTATACAAATCTGCTATTTTTTAAATGTTGATTCCAGTGTTTCTTCTAGTTTGTATTGCTGTTATAAATGGTGTTTTGAAAGAGTCTCTTTCATTGTTAATAGAAATTTAATGAAATTTAACATAGCTTTATATACTCACTTGATAAACTCCTAAATTTCTACTATTTTTCTGCAATTTTTTGGTTTTTCTATGTGGATAATTATGTTATTTGCAAATAGTGATGATTCCGGTTCTTTTAAATTACTTTCCCTTTTATTTTTTAATTTTATTTATTTTTATTTTTTCCCTTTTATTTTTCTTGGCACACTTTTAGAAGTGATTGTGATTAGTTATTTGAAGTAATTATAATGGGCATAGCTGTCTCATTTCTGATTTTCCCATTAAAAAATGTCTATTACTGAGTTTTTGTAGATATCCTTTTATTACATGTTTTTCTGCATTGGTTGAGAATATTTTGTGTGTAGACTGTTGTAATGGATTCCAATTTGTATATCTTAAAATTCTTAATGATTACATTCCTTCCCGAGATAAACCCAAAATGATCTTGATGGATTGTCTTTATGAACTACTGGATTGAGTTTACTATTTTTTTTTTGGGGTGGGGGGGTTGCATATTTGTTAACTGTCACTTACCATAGTGATGATCTTATCTGATGTTGGTAAAGTTGTACTGGCCTTATACCAGTTAAAGAGTAGTCCCTCTTTTTTCTATTCCCTGTGTTTGATTTGGAGTGATTGGTTTCTTAAAAGTTTCATGGAAGTTATTTGTAAGATCATTTGGATGTACTGTTTTCTTTGTGGAAGGAGTAAGAGTTGTAAATAATTGAGTAGTAACTAGCAGTTAATAATGGTAGGACTTTACACGTTTTCTATTTCTTTTAGTCACTTTTGAAAAATTTTAGAAATATTTCCTGTCAACAAAAATGTTAAGTTTATTGGCATTAAGTTCATGGTATTGGCTTAGTTCCCTTTTTAATCTCTCTTTTATCAGTAGTTATGTTTTTCTCATTTTGAATATTTATGTACACCTCTTTTTCTCAATTAACACTTGAAGAAAATGAAAGAAATTAAAAAAACAGTCCTTTATTTTTTCACAATACAAGATTTCTCCCCCGAGGTGCTTACCATAGTTTTCCCACCACCCAAGTGCCCACAGCCCTCAGCGACGCCCGGTGCACTCTCCTCCCACCCCCTGCCCCTTTCCAAGTTTGTCTGTTTTATTAATCTTGGTAAAGAATTAAATTTTGGCTTAATTGGTCTTCTCTATTATAGCTTTTCTTTTTTTAACCACCTGCCCTTTGTCTTTGTTTTTCAGTTCACTATTATTTTTTGTTTCATTGTTTCCTCCTTTGTTCTTTCTTTGGATTTGTTATTTTTATTTTTTTATTTAAATTTCATGCTTAAGTTACAAGTAAGTGTTCAGCCATTTTTCTTTACAGCATATAAGGCTATAAACTTCCCCACATTCATTTCTGCTTTCTCTAACATAATTTCCAGAGCTTTCATTCATTTTTAAATCTAAGTTTTTTAAATTTCCATTTTGATTTGTCATTGACTTATGAGTTATTTAGAAATGTTTTTAAATGGTCAGATGTATCTACATTTGCATTTTTTATTATTGAATTCTTAATTGAGTTGTCAGAGATCTTGGTTTGTGTTTTACCTTTTTAAAAATATTTGTTTACCCTTTATGTCCTAATACATCATGAATTCTAAGTTTTTTTATATATACTTGTGCAGAGAATATATTTTTATTATAGTCCATCTGTATCCATTTGATCAAGCTTATAATTGTGTTCAGATTGTCTTTATTAATTTTTTTGTTTGACCTATCATTAGTTGAGAGAAATGTGTTGTAATCTCACACATTATCTTCTAATTATATATTTTCATAATTATCTTATTTTCATATATTTGGGACTATTTTATTGGGTACATGCAAGCTTAACACTATTTTCCTAGTGGATTCAACCTTTCCTATTATGTTGTAATCCTCTCCGCTCCTAATTTTGCTTTTAGTCTCAGGGTCTGTTGTCTGTCCCACCTTTCTTTTGTTTGTAGTTTACCTGGCATATCCTTTTCCTTCGTTTTACTGCCACCTTTTTTTAATGTCCTTATGTTTTAGGTAGCTCTTATAAAGGAGTGTTACTAGATTCCCCCCTCTTTAATCAGATAATTTATGTCTTTTAATTGTTATATTTAGTTATATTTGTCAGTTTTGACAAATTTTAGAAATTTGTCTTGGTGGTTTTCTCAGTTTTTATCTAAATTTGTTGTTGTTATATCCTTGTCCTCAAGAGATCATCTTGGTAGATGTACAGTTCTAGGTTCATAGTTTACTTTCTGTTGGCATGGTGAGGTACTACGCTCCTGTTCCTTCACTCACGCAGAATCTACTTCCAGTTTTCCTTATGCCTCTTTGAAGAAAATACTCTTTTTCTTTAGACTGCTTTGGATTTTCCTGTCATTGGTGTCAGGTCATTTCACTTCTAAGAGTAAAAAAAGATTACTGTTGTTTCTCCTCACTTTGAATGCATGTGTCTCCTGATTCTGAATTTCACCTTTCAGTGGCCTAGAAGATTCAGAGCTCTTTGACCATTGTTTCTCTGATCTTACCTATTCTTCGGTGGAAATTTAACTGGATATTGTACTAACTCTTTCACGATTACTTACTTTTCATCTTTCCTATTTTTTACTTCCTTGTATCTACTAGAATGGGCAGTGCTGGGGCATTTCATCAGGCACATTTTTCAAGTTCTTCAATTTTCTCTTCAGCTGTAGACTGTGATATCCTTGGGGTTTAAATTTAGTGCTTGTTTTTTTTTCTTAACTCCTATTGATAGCTAGACACCTTCTGTGTTTGGTAATTTTTGATTATAAAATACTTGATTAAGCTTTTTTTTACGGGGATCTTGAGATTTTGATTTGGTGATGCTTTTCATCTGAAAGGATTTGTATCGACTATGGGCACCAGGGAGTATATGCGACTACTTTTCAGTTCCCCTGCTTTGCTTCCAACCCAAGGCTCAGCAGACTGCCCCAGTGCTGCTCACTACTTGTGGCTCTTGACTCCCAGGTTTTTCTTGTGAGAGGTTTGTTTCTTTTGGGGGAAAGGGTGACTTTTAGTGTTCCCTGTTTCTATGAACTCAGCACATTAAATATTTTTTAAAATCTAGGATTCATTTTGCTGTGGTAGAATATCCTTTTAGTTTATCATACTGATAGCATGATAATGTTCTTTTATATTTAATTTTATTGGGTTGTCGGAAAAGTCGTGACGTATTTTTGCTTGAAAAACATAGAATAATATGTCATGACTTTTCCGACAACCCAATAGTATATTTCAGTTTGTATTAGAACAAAAAAATCTTACTGCCCAACTGTAAGATTTCTTGGTGATACAATTTTTTTTTTATTAAAATTAGTTTATATTTGAGTTAAGAGTTGTGAATTATTCTAAAGAAAAATATTAAATACCAGTATAGGTGGCAAGGATTTGTCAGTTTTCTATGTTAAGTAAAAGATTTGGGGAAACACTGAGCTAGGAAATCAGGATGAGCAGGGCACAGTGTACCATTTGGACTCAGTGCGCCTGAAAGCTAAACCTGTGGTGAACAAACAGAAAACTGCTGTCAAAAGGGTGTGGGCATAGTGCTCTGGGCTTACAGAGAAAGGTGCAGTAATGAACTTGGTGGTAGTGGGAAGAAGGAAATGCTTCCTGGAACCCATTATTAAGGACTGTAGGCATTATAGATGGTTGCAAAATAAGCTTTGTTTGGTAATGACAAGCAGATGAGGGTTGCTTCTGAGTTAGGTGTCATGGAGTAACTATAGAGAGAAAAGAAGCAACAGGTCACAGATGGCCTCCTATGCTATAGTAGGGAGTTTGGGCTTTATTATGAAGATAAGGGGACCCCCGTGAATAATTTTAAGTGGTATAATGTAATGGTCAGTTCTGGAGGGTGCCAAGATTGAAGGCAAGCCACCCCTTAGAAGACTGCCTGTTGAATTAGTTTAGAGGAGAAGGGGTGATGCAGCTGAGAAATGGCACTGGTCATGAAGTGGTGTGTGTGCTGATTTTAGATTCCTTCAGGGAGTGGAAATGGCAAGACTTTGTGGTCAGTTGGATAGGATTGTTGAAGGAGACTAGGGAGTCTAGACCCCAGATTTTTTGTTTGGCTAACCAGATGGCATGTAGACCATTCTCTAATAACAGACAAAAAGAAGAAAGTTTTGGGTTTTATTTGAGAAAAGGATGTTTGTTTTTGACTTACTAAATCTGAGAGGCTTGTGGGGCATCTTGATGAAGATCCGGTGGCATGAACAGTCACGAGATGCAGCCCACCCCCTGGAGAGGTTTGAGTCTTCAGCCATTTTTGCTGCAGTGCAGTATGAGATAATTTAAAGTAGTACATAAACACTTAAGGTTTCTTTACTCGTTAGGAATTTATGCTAATGTATATGAAAACATACATACATCAAACCTACGATACTGTGGATATTATCAATTGTCAAGTGAGCCCCATGAAAGAGAAATATAAGTAAAAATACATGTGATGTGTGAAAATGGCAACAGTCATGGTGAAGCTCTGCACATGGTGGAAGTTGAGAAAGTGCTGGTTTAAGCCCTGGGAGTGGTGGATAAGGTCACCCGGGGAGAGGGTAAGCGTGAGAAGAAAAAGAGAGTTGACGTTTGGGTGGCGGGGAATGGAGAAGAGGAGCCCACGGAGGTGGCTGAGGAAGAGCAGCCAGAAGAATAGGAGGAGAACCAGGAGAAGATGGTCTTTGGAGTCCAGATGAAGAGTTCTGAGGATGAGGAATGGTCAACAGTGTCAAGTAAGTTGTAAGCTGAAAAGTGCTCTTTGGACTTAGCAGTTAAGGTGGACCGTTTACCAGAAGCATCCAAATAGCGAATTAAAAAAAAAAAAAACTCATAACGTTGGAGGTAGCTGATGTTTATAGCTTTTCCTGTTATATATGTGTATGTAGAAATGTATTCAGTGACTAGCTAGATAGTATTGTGATTCCCTTTTGATATATGAGGAAACTGAAGCCCAGAGAGGTTAAGTAACTTCCCTAAAACTGAGGAAGTGGGAAAGCCAGGATTCAGGTCCAGGCGGTTTGGTTCCAGAGTCTGTGATCTGAGCTACAGTGCCACATCGCCTGTCTGGATAAAATAAAATAGAAAATAGAAATTATCCAACATCGTAATTCCAGTGCAGCTGGTGTAGGGCATGGTGTGGTGAGAACTGCCAGGTTGGGAATGACCAGCGTAAGGCACGCTCTCAGTCTCCTGGGTATGAGTGCGGTGACTGCATAGTGATAGATTCTGTGATGGTGACATGTGGGCTGTGAGACAGTTCTTGGCTCTCTCTGAGTGTATGCAAAAATTGTCAGACAAATGAGTTTCAAAGTATTTATATTTCCCAGGATGGTATATGTCCCATGTTATGTTCCGCACTTTGGGTGCTAAAATGTCTTCATAACTTTTCTAGTCGTTGTTCCATTTTGGAGTTAAATTCTCTATAATATTGTTCATCCACAATAGGCCAGTTGCCAGACATTCAAGATAACCAGTCTGTTATAAAAGGCCACTAGTGACCTTATTGAAAGCAGTTTCCTTTGAATGGTAGACCAGTGGTAGGAAACTTAAAGCGAATGCGAATGGGAGGAATTGCATGGGAGAAACGCAAGTGTTCTTAATGAGACGGAAAATGTCTGTGGAGAGAGACAGAGGGGATTCTTGGCTGTGGGCAGAGGAACTAGTCAGGGTCAGACCTGGGCAGTGATCTGAGGTGTGGCCTTGGAAAGGAAGGGCCTAGGTGAAGTCCATTGTTCAGTGGAGGAGGTCCTTACACTGCAAGGCTGGGGTTTTGAAGGGATTGTTTTCATGTGCCTTGATGTGCCTGAGATGATAGAATTTCGAGGAAAGAGGGAAAAACTTTGAACTAGTTTCTGTTGTTCTTAAACATGACAACATTCAAGAGGTAACCAGGTGGTAATGACAAGGAAGAGTAGGTAGAGTGAACTAAAGTAGATTCTCTGGATCAGAACCTGGCTTTGAATCCTTGGCTTGGTGACCTTGAACAATTCATTTCACTGTGAATTGTTTTCCTGTCTCCAGGGTGGAGGAGATGGTAATTGGAACTGTTAAGAATTGGTATGAGGATGATGCTTATAAATGCTTGGTGCAATACATGACAAATAGTAGAAATGTTTGCTAGGAAGGTTGTTATTCTTCACTGCTGATTTTGAGATTTTCATACAGCAAGTTGGGCATAATAAGAGGCTTAATTAAAGAAACAGATTTGTAGTTCAAGGACTGATGGTGGTCTTGCTTATGAAAAAAATGATGGGATGATAATGGTAAAGTAAGAAGGTATAAGAAACGGTGTTAATGATAGTTAATAGGAAAAGGAAGTCATCATGTAGACAAGAGTTAGAAGTTAAAACATGATGCATTTTTAGAGAGATGAAGGTTTTGTAGCTGTTCTGATAGTTACAAATCTTTACTATTGAACTTTCTTTAGGGAAAAAACCTTAGTCTGAAATTCCTTCCTTAACCTCTCTTTCCCCTCATTAAGTACTTTCTTTTTATAATGTGCTTATTCCCCACCGTTGCAAAATATCAGTGCTGACTGTTGTAGTGAGCGTGAGAGCCTGAGGAGTGGTGACAATCAGGCGGATGGAAGGTCTGGGTAAGGCTTGGGAAGTGAGATACACACATGCGGCATGGGTGGAACACCAGCAGCTGATAGGAAACTGTTGTCTTGATGGAGTCAGGATTTAGTTCTGGCCAGGAGGTAGAGAATGTCATAGAATTTGTGTGGTGAGATGGCATATTTCACGGGACAGTACAAACAGATGGGGTACAGGACAGCCGTGCGAAGATGTTCATTCAGCAGAACCTTTGAGGGTTTTCCATTACGAGGCACACGCAGTCATCAGTAGGTTTACCATTAGGAGGCACACGCAGTCATCAGTAGGTGCCCTTCATTATCGGCCATCTAAAGGAGATGTGTAAACAGATAATATTCAGAGTAGAATTGGTAATCTGTGAATCTCAGGGAAAGGAGAAATAGATTCAAACTGATCATTTGCAGAGACTCAGGGGATAAGATTAGCAGAATGAGGATGCAGACCTTGGACAACTTGACGTTCTCATTGGAGTTATTTCCTTGAGACTTGAATTCCAAGTATTTTTCTAACATGCCATAGAAGCCAGGGAAACTGCTTCTCATCTCAAATGATTTAATTACTGATTCAGGTTTGTGTTGTTCCCCTAGGATGGTACGCTATGGATGATTTTGCCCTGGGAGATTTCACTGTAGCAGATTATGCCTTGTTAGATGATGGCCGTTCCATGGACGATTGTGTGTTTGCTCCTGAATTTACATCCAGTGATTATGTTCGTGTGACTCAACTTTACTGTGATGGGGTGGTGAGTAGATTTGCCACTTTTCTGTTTTTAACATCGTGTTTTTGATTGAGATATGATTAGCATATAATGTTAAATCAGTTTTGGATAACCACACAGTAATTTGATATATGTATATATTGTGATTATCACAATAAATCAACATCTGTCACTAGACAGTTAAACTTTTTTTGTAATGAGAGCTTTTGTTTTGGTGATGGGATCTTTTAAGATTTACTTCTTAAAAGCTTTTAGATTTAGAGATGTCTGAGTAAAGATGTTTCTGTGATACATGCTTTTTTATAGGGAGACATACTTGCTTTTGAAAAAGTGATTTCAGAAGGGATAGTAAGCTCTCCGTCAACAAGAGTGCATGCCAGAGACCAGGTGATGGTGAAAGGTGGTTTTCTGACTAGAGATTTGGAAAACCAGTGAAAGCCACAGAAAGACTCAGGAAACTGAAAAAGACCTAAAGGCTCATTGATTGTACATAGATGATGTATTTAAAGGGTTTAAGTAAATGCACTGAAAAATTCTGGCTGATTACTGATAATCTCTATAGTAAAGTCAAGAACTGTTCTTTTGTATTTTATTTTTTTCTAATTCACTCGTGCACCATTACCCTCGCACCCTTTGTACTATACCAGGTACAAATCAAAAGCATTTTTTTCCTTTTTAGGGTATGCAGTATAAAGATTATATCCAAAGTGAGAGAAACTTAGGTGAGTACATTGGTATTTTAATTTGTTGAAAGATTATCAAAGACAATTCATCCACTTGCGTGAGCATAACAGACTTTCATCTCTTTTAAAATCTTTTCTTACTCTTCTTTCCCCCTATAAAGCAAAATCTTTGTAAAAACAGCTATAGCCAGGGCCTCCCTGGTGGCGCAGCAGTTGAGCGCTGGGTTGTGAAGCTGCCCGGAGCCTCTGCAGCGCCGGTTAGATCCCCGGCCGCCACCGGGCGATGGTCCCTCAAGGCACGCAGACCTCTCCTGCTGCCTGCTGCTCCCCTCAGCAGTGTACTTCAGTCCTTCTGCCTGCTCTGCTCCCCGCTCTGGCTCTGGTGAATTCTCTCACCCTCCCGTGCTTCTGACTGTACCCGGTGCTTGTATAAATAAATAAATAAATAAACCTTTCAAAAACAAAAAAACAAAAGTACTGGCTCAAAATCATTTAAAAAAAAAAACAAAACAGCTATAGACAGCATTTAAATATTCGTAATGACTAATGGGCTAAAATACTTCATCCATTCATTTCTTGTTTCTATATCCATTGTTCCTTTTTTCCCATTTAACAGTGTTAATTCATTCCAAAATGAAGCACAAAGTAGTAATTAAAACCTTTTTTTTTTTTAATTAAGAATTTGACATCTGCAATATGTGGTGCAGTAAGCCAATTTCTGTCTTGCAAGATTACTGTGATGCTATTAAAATATACATCTTCTGGCCACTTCTGTTTCAACGTCAACACAGTTCTATAATATCACGGTTGCACCCCTGTGTGGAGGCCAGGTAAATTATTACGTGTTATTAATTTTGTATGAACAGTGATAAGCATGTTACTCAGTACTGAGGAATGCAAGTACAGTAGAAGACTCATATCTCATTCTTGTAAATTGTTCAACTGGTCTCTTGTATGGTAGGGTGGAAAAGTTAATATTTGGGATTTGGATATGAATGATTATAGTAATATAGTGAATGAAACTGAAGAGCATTAAGCTGGTAGATTTGAAGCTAAGAAAGGAAAATGTAAAATGCTTGTTTATAAATGTCAACATTATATTTTATAATTGAGAGAAAGATACAGTATTTTATCCACTTAATATGCAACTTGTTACCTGGAGTGAAGAAACAGATATCTTTTTTTTTTTTTTTCATGTAACTATAACATATTGAAGTGTAAAGTTTAATGAATATTTTTATATGAGAATCTAATCTTCTAAAAAATAAATCTGTCTTTTAAGCAATCATGCTTCTGAGATAAGTTTGAAAAAATTACAACATCTTGAGTTGATGGAAGATATTGTGGATTTGGCAAAGAAAGTTGTGGTAAGTTAAATATGGTCCCCGTACCCCCCATTTAAAGAATAGAAATACTTGTATGGTGTCAGACCCATGTTATTTATTGTGGTTAACAGATAATAGTTTTAATTTTTATTAACTTGAGATTCTGTTCTCTATGAGTATGTGCTATATATTTGAGAGATCAGGTTGTGTAACATAATGAGAAACAGGCTAGAAATTGGGATTTGTCACAAGTGTGCTCCTGGTTCAGAGAAGCTTTTGTCACTGGTTCAGTAGGTGATGAGTTTTTTCTTATAAAATCACGTCACTATTGTCACCACCTCCAGAGGTGTTTTTTCTTTGGGGTAAACTTGATCATGTCAGTTTTGAGGAGGTTTCCTTGTCTACAGAGTTCTTTTTATATTATTTTCTTAAAAGCATTTTGATGGTTTTTCTTACTTCATTTGGTTTTGGAAGTGATCATCTTGATTCTATTCTCATTGCAAGCTAAAATTTAGAAAGGGCACCCTGATCGTTATTTCCTGCTGATAATCCTTTACAGTAACTTGTATCAGCCAGTGGACTTTTATTCAAAAGCCTAGATGTAATGTACTTAAAATTCATACACCTGAAAGTTATGCTCAGTCATTTTATTGCTATAACCCATTGTAAGACTTTCTACATTTTTGTTTTAGGGTCCTTAAGAGGTAGATAGGGAACACAGGTGCTTGTGGGAAGTGGACTGCTGTACACATCAAGTACAGGATTTTTTTTTGTCCACTGGGAATTCAAGTATAACTGACTGAATAAGGAGAAATATGTGTTTTGTTCTTTTTTTGTTTTGCAGAATGATCCATTCTTTATTGGAGGCTTATTGAGAATTGGTTATAAAATAGAAAATGTAAGTGTTAAGCTTGGAATCCCAGCACAACCCTATGAATACATGGCACACCTCCAGACCTCCAGAGGCTTGTGAATGATTATAGACCTGGAAGTTTGGTCTGTGACCTGGCCAGAAGCTGCCCTGTGTAGCTTGTATTGGATTCACATAGTCTGTTTTTGAGATTTATTTATTTATGCATACAGGAACTGAGTTGTAGGCCAGAGGTGCGGGGGGTGGTGGGGGTGAGAGGATTCACCTGAGACAGAATGGGGAGCAGAACAGGCGATTGACTGAAATACACTGCTGAGGGGCGCAGCGGGGAGACAGGAGAGATCTGCTGAGCCATGTGGGTCAGCTCCCTGGCTGGGGATCAAATTTTTGTTGCAGTGGCTGCTGATAGCTTCAGAGTGCTGAGACTTAATCCCTTGTGCCACCAGGGAGGCCCCCACATAGTCTGTGTTTTTAATACAGTATTTGGTAGTATTGGTTTATATGTTTTGCTTAAACTACCTCTTTATTTTTGGAGTCTTCATCATTTCTCACACCTCCTCCCACCCTCCCCTATCCCCTGCGAATGAAATCACTGTTTCCCTGGTATGAACATTTTTGATTACTAATCTGCAGACACAGTGAGTCCACAGTGTCATCATTGATAAGTTCTTGGAAACTGCAGTTTTGAGCAAAGCGACATGTAATGAAAGCAGGTCCTGGTTCATTCAGTGTGGACTGGGATTTATTTTCTTGTCAGTATTACAACAAAATAACATTGAATGGAACAAAATTATTCAAGGACCTGCTGTGCATCAATAAACCAGTTTTTAATGCCACTCATGAAATTTGACACTAATATTGATGATGAATTTCCAGTCACTTCAGACACTAGAAGTATGTCTATGAACTCTTGACTCGACATTAAAGTCATTGCATTGAGTGCTTATTTGTCCAGCCATTCCTGTCTCTTTTATCTCCTTATTTTATTTGCCACAGACCATTTAAAGTACCCAGTCCCTTTGAATGAACCTTAAGGCTGAAAGTCCTAGTTGAGGTGAGATCTGAAACCCCTTGTGCATGTTGTATTATTGCACTTTTCTGCTTCAGAAAAGCAGGGCAGCTTCTGGCCAGGTCATAAACCTCAACTTGCAGGTCTGTAATCATTCAGAAGCCTCTGGAGGTCTGAGGGTAGTCTGAGGTCACCAGAAGGTATATAACATATGTGAGTTCCCAGTATCTTTTAACTTGTATGTTGGGGTCTCACTATCCAGGTTTCATGTGGTAGTAACAAAAGGAGCTTGTACAAGTTTTATGCTCAGAATCTGAAATACTACATAAGATAAATTTATAATGCCACTGTAAACTTAGAAATAATACCCAGATAACATTCCTCACTCCCCTTTTTAAAACAGAAAATCTTGGCAATGGAAGAAGCTTTGAATTGGGTGAAATACACAGGCGATGTAACAATTCTACCTAAATTAGGAGCGGTTGACAATTGTTGGCCTATGTTAAGTATTTTCTTTACAGAATGTAAGTACAAATGTTTTAAATTGTTATTGAGCTCAGTTTTTTTAGGAAAATGGAGTGTGTAGTTATGTGATCTGTTTATTTTTCTTATGGCTTTAAATAGTGTTTTCCTCTTGTGATTAAGAGAAAGAACTTAACCTTGTAGTTAGGTGTATTTTGTATGTCCTCTTTCAGTGAGTTCTGTGATGTAATACTTTTTAAAACCCTACCAATGGAATGTCATCAATTACTGTATATAATGCCCAAAGAAAGATCATAACTGGGGCTCATGTATTCTTATTCTTTTTTTTTTTTTTTTAATATTTTGTTATTGTGACACAAGAGCTTCTCTCTCTCTCTTTTTTGCATAAATAAATAAATCTTTTTAAAAAATTAAGGTTTATTTATTTATACAAGCACTGGTGTATAGGCCAGAGGCACGAGATGGTGAGAGAATTCACCAGAGACAGAGTAGGGAGCAGAACAGGCAGAAGGACCGAAATACACTGCTGAGGGGAGCAGTGGACAAGACAGGAGAGGTCTTTTGCACCATGTGGGACTCTCCCTGACTGTCTGGGAATCGAACCGGCGCTGCAGAGGCTGTGGACAGCTTCACAGCGCTGCGCTTAACCCGCTGTGCCACCGGGGAGGACCCCGGTATTCTCATGTATTCTCATTCTTAAGAGAAATAAGTAACAAACTAAGATTATAATTTTTATTTCCTTGATTAAGTTGTTATTCCTATGAATAAATTTATGGTGCATAATTCTTATGATGAAACTGCATTATATATTTTTTTACTTTGTAAAATATTTTTCCTTAAAGCATTTAAATATTAGTATTTTTGTAATGTAGGTATAGGAAACTTAATACAGTAAATACTTGACTCTTCAGTAGATGATGACCAATATTTGCCAACTCTCCCAAGAAGAGGGCAAATATGGAAAGCAGCTATGCTCACACTATACCACCAGTGCTAACTGAAGTGAAGAGGGCAAATTTTGAACTGGTGACCTAGATGTTAGTGGAAAATTACGCATAGACAAGAAGACAGATTTTTCTGGCCTGTTTATTAGACACTGGAGGTAGTTCTCTTTGTTGTCCTGGAGACTTTTACTTATAGACTAGGTCTTACCGTGGAAGTAGAGGAGCAATTTATAACATTGGGCAACCCTGTGGGCTCATTTCTGACATTCTGTCTTTATAATAACGCTGCAATGTAGCTATTAATGTTCATGTTTTAGAAACACAGAAACATCACTTGATGTAAAACTACATCTATTGTAGCAAATAGTAGAACCTAGACTAGAAGTCGGTCTCTGATCTCAAAGCTCAGATTTTCATTTTGTAATCTGCCTCTGTCCCAGTATTGCTTTCTCTATTTAATGACCTCCCCTTAACCACAGTTTTATTGTAATAAAATTATTATTAATCACTTTTAGAAAATCTTTTATGGAAAAGCTTAAAATACAGAAAAAGAGGGTTGGTAGGCTTTGACCTAAATTTTGGTTAATATTCTGACGCATTTTAATTTGCCTATTAAATTTTTATGAGACTATTACTTCAGATAACATCTCAATATAGCATTTTACTCATGAGTCACATGTTGAATTAAGACATTTTAAATTCTTCATTTGTTATAAAACTTTTAGAAAGACATTTTCTAGGCTTTTGTTTTCAGACATTTGCCTTGAACATCATGCCAGGTACATCATAGGTGCTCAGTAATGTTTGTTGAATTAACTTGCGTAGTCAGGAAGCCTCTTTAGCGTGTGTTATGATGGGTCACTTGTAACTGTAGTTAGAACTAATGTGATGATAAATAAGTGGTTGTTTTAATACTAGACATAAAACAGATTAGGTTCATAACAAACAATGAATCTAATGTTTTTGGAAATACTGTAAAATATTGTTTGTTTTTAAATACATTATTTGATACACATAAAACATAATAATAAATGTGTTATTTGGATGGTATGAACTTTATGGACTCAACCTAACTTAAATTAGATGAAAACCAATACCAATTTGTTTTTTTTTTAAACAAATGTTTTCTCACTCTCTCCTAAAAATAAAATTTAGATAAGTATCACATAACTAAAGTTGTAACAGAAAACTGCAATTTGCTTGAAGAATTTAAAACTCAAAATTGTGCGGAATGTATAGAGGTGAGAATAAATATTTACTTGTAAGTATATTTTAAAATTTGCTTTATTAATATTGATACCCAGAGGAAGTTCAGTAAACTGATCTGACAACATACAGAAAATACTGTAAAATGCAGTAGCAATTTTGAAGGGAAATTTTAATAAATTTTCATCAGAATATTATGTTTTTGGAAGAGGAAAACAGCAAGATGAAAATTTTCTGATTTTATAGAATGTAAAACCAGGTACTTGAAATTGAAATTTGATTTTTTTTTTTTAACTAAGGTACTTCTAATTAGTTGAGAAAATGTTTTTCTTTGGCAACAGCTTTATTGAAAGGTAAATCACATGCCATAGAATTCTTCATAGGAAATGTGATTTTATCTAAAATTTTAGAAAAGATTTAGGAAAATATTTAATGCTTTATTTAATTTTCTAATTAAAGCCATTGATATAATCCAGTTTCTTAATTTATTTTGAAAATTTGAGTTTGAAGTGAAAAGTCAGCTATCTCTGTAGTATCTTCGATTTCATACATTTTCCTGCTAACTTTGTTCCCTCATTTTTGTAATTAACCAGCACAGCCTACATGTTACTAGTTTACAGATTGTTTTTTAAGCGCTGAGGTTTATTGATTAATGTCACATTCTAACCTAAAATTAAAATTCTGCCTCACATCAATTCTTAATAAGAATGGCAGACTTAATAATAGATGTCTAAAAAGTGATTCTGCAAATAATGTACACAAGGGGATAAATTGTTAGTTGGTTTCACAATGTGGTGCTTTTGTTCACCTCTTAATATTCCTTTAACAAAGTTAGCATTGAGTCATTAGAGACAGTTCTTTAAAAGAAAAAGAGCTATATATCCCCAACTATTGGGGATCGTGGTCTCATTTTCTATATAAATAATCCCTCAAGTTGTTTCTGATATAAAAGATAGAAACCCAGAGCCACTTTTTGTAGGTATTGGGATTCTTGATTCACTTTGGAGATAATTGATGGATCTTTTTAACCTTGGTTTCTCAGCAAGGAGAACTAATGAAAATGAAAGGAAATGAAGAATTTTCCAGAGAAAGATTTGATATAGCTATTATCTATTACACCAGAGCCATTGAATATAGGTAAGAGAAAATAAAATGACGGGATCTTTTTTATGTGGCAAATCAGCTTAGAATACCTGTCAGGAGACATAAAAGCATGATAAGGAATTGGAGAATATTTTCAGCTTGCTATGTACAAAAGATTTTCTTACCTTTAGATTTCAGAAGTATTAGAGATGGCCTGTGCAGATGAACTTAATCAAGAGTAGTGTGACTCACACAAGCCTGGCAAAATTGTGAGCTTGATTCTACCCTGCCCCATTTTCTTTCAGGCTTTCCAGTAAAGAGTCATCGCTCTTTCTTGTTCTCATTTTACCTTCCACTAATTCCTTCCAAGATATTAACTGGTCATAGAGAGTTAGTTATTAATATTTAAGATGCCATCCATTCAGGAGTTTTGCTTCTTAAGAGAGAACTTTTAAAGGCTAATATTTGGAATTGTTGAGAGCGCGCACGTGCTCTCTCTGCCTCATCATTTCTTGACTCAGCAGCTAGAATTTTGTAGCATTTCTGCAGTGTGCCTCACACTTGGCTCCTGCGGGCGTCTTAGCTAGGCCGCCTCATCCCGCAGTGGTCCTCAGAGGGCGCGCTCAGACAGCTGCTCTCTCCTCCCTTGCCCGCTGCACTGGGACCAAGTGCACGAAGGTACACAGCACATCTGAACAGTTACTGCTCTGTTCTTCTGAGGAAGAGGAGGAGGAAAGGGGGGACTTGAGCTCCACCACACGTAGATAAAACTAAAAAGGGCAGCATTTGAAATGAAACTATTTAAAGTACTGGTGCAGTTTACAGATTTCTTTTGTCTGAATTCTTTGTCAAGGTGGTACTAGTCTAAATAGTTCTGTCCTCTGTAGTTATAGCATATTTTGTAATTTACTGACTTTTTCATTTCTCATTTGTTCCTCACAACAACCCTATGAGCTAGTCAGAAAAAGAACTGTCTTCACTTTGAATTCAGGGAAATTCAGGTGGATTTGAACAGACTCTCTTTGGTGGGAAGTGAGGGAATTGATATTAAGCCAGTTGGAACTGCAAACCTATATTCCTCCTACTCTGTGGGAAGTAGTTTGAAAATTTTTTGGCTCTGTTTTCTGTGTGATTTTTTTTTTCTTGTGTATGTAATTTGCTTTACTGACTAATAAATATTATTTGTCTTAAAGACCTGAAAATCACCTTCTTTATGGTAACCGAGCTCTTTGTTTTCTTCGCACTGGCCAGTTTAGGTAAGTTCCTTAAAGTACTACAATCTCTGAACTATTAAGCTAAATACCCATTTTGGGGAACTATTTCTGTTTTGCAGGTATGCAGGATATCACTCAGGAGTTCTTTGGCAGAAATAGTTAAAAGAGGTCTCTGTAGGCTTTATATATAGCAACACAGCATCCATTCTGATTGAGTGCATAGCATGTTGATGCATTGTTTTAAGTGCTTTATGTTTTTTAATTTTCACAACACCTTAGTAAGTAGGTAATGTTATTCTTCACATTTCCATTTGGATAAACTCATACCATTAATAAGTGGTGATGTCAGGATTTGAACACAGATCATACCTGATGATGTCAAAATCAGTGTTTATAACACCTACAATATACCACCTTCTTTTGCTCTATTTAGTTCTGGAACAATTTTTCCCATACAGATAGACTTTTTTTCTATCTTGGAATGAAAAAATTAAGCATACTTTCTTTGTAACTGAAAGAAAGCAAGGAAATTTCATGGTGCAACTATGAGTAAAATCATAATTCTTAGTTTCTTATATTGGATTTGAACTGAGATTTTATTTATTAGTTGAGAAGGATTGCACCATGATTTTGTGTACCTCAGTTTAAAAAATCTTAGTACATAAATTACAAGCATTGATAGTAAGCAGTGTAGACTGTTGCATTTAATTATGCATGCTTTTTGTAAGAAGGGTTTAAGATAGCTTCAAGAATATGACTTCTCATAGAAGAATATTAAAAATAAAACAAATAACCAAGTTAGAGCTGGGAATCCTTTGAATAAAGTGGTGTAGATGTGTTATTAGTTATAGTTCACTTGCATTTGATCTTTCTGTTACACAAAATAAAAAAAGAAGACTTGACAAGTTACTTAATTCTCACTGTCCATGAAGAAAGAGACTGCCAGTTGATCAGGTGAAACAGCAGTGGTGCTTTCCTGGGGTTTAGTTCTGGAAGAAAGTTTCTCTATGGCTACAAGTGCCAGGAAGTGAGTGATGGCGTAGAGGAGAACCTCAGCAACATTCCTGAAAGTGTAGTTGGGGTTTTACAAATGATTTTTTGTGTGAAGTGTCTCATGAGTGCAGAGAGTCTTACCAGTTGTTTGTCAGTGAAAATACTTCTGCTGGGATGTGAATGGGTGGGACTGGGGAAGATAGTGTATCCAAGTATATAGCTTTAAAAATAACATTATGTTTTTCTTTTATTATAAACAGAACACATTCTCATGGTAGAAAATTTGGAAAATACAAGAGTTTAAAAAGAAGAAAATAACAATCACCAGTAATCCAACCACCTCGGAGAATACCGCTGTATTAACGTTATGCAGCTTTTAGGTGGCTTAAGCCGTGGATAAACCGAGGCTATCTAGACTAGAGGAATGGATGGGCTTGACACAGTCTTCCATCAATACCACTGTCCTCAACTGTCCTGACAAGAAATGAGCTGCAAATGTTTTTAGGTTATTACCTCTGGCTAGGTCCAGAATTGCAGATATCCTGTGCTGTTGAAAAGTGAATCTGTATGTTTTCAAGATGAATAGGTTGGCAACTTGTATCCGAACCCTTGATTGGGCGGAAGGTCATGCACTCTGCGTAGGGGATCTCTGAGAGCTGAGGGGCGGACCAGGTTGTGTCTGTCCTCTTGTCTGAGCGTTGAATGCTAGACACTCTAGGATGACTGCCTCAAACTCCACTGTAAAGGAGGTGTATCAGAGTAGAAATACTGAAGCCAGTAGCCTGGTGAGGTAGAGGTCAAGCGCAGGGCTGTGCATCGCATCCTCTGCTTCCTTCCCGATGCTCTCGCTTGAGGCGCAGCACTTATTATTAGAGGCAGGTCAGCAACTTTTCTTTTTTAGGTCATTGTTACGTATCGGATACCTGTTAATGTCAGAAGCATTATGCCTCACTAGTGCTGCTAGTGTTTCCCTCCTCCTCACACAGTGTGTATGTGACTTGCTTAGTAATGGAGGGACACTGTTTTCTGAGTCCACGGTATATGTAATAACTCCTGGTCAAGTGAGTAGATAATGGGCTTCAGTAACGAACATGTTGCCACTAATTGAGAAGTATTATTGACTCAGGAGGACCCATGCCCTCTTTAACTGTGTTACCAAGGTGGACATGTTTTGAAACTCTCACATCAGAAGGTTGATGTTCTGTTGCAGAAATCTGCCTGAGCAGCTGGGGTCCAGCATCCAGCCTTCTTATATTTGGGCAAGGATGCACTCTTTGCTGTTCCTCAAGGCCAGACTTTGTCTGCCATTGTAAGAATCAAGATGTTCAAAGAACAGAAAAGTAAATTTTCAGTTGGTCCTATAAAAGAGAAAAGAATAAGAGGATAGAGTTATGAATGCTAGAACTTCTGAAATAGTTTAATCCTAAAAGATTAGGAAACATAAATTGTAACATTAAAAGAAACATTGAATTAAAAAATATACCTTTGGTAAGAATAATAAAAAATAACATCACAGTTTCTTACAACCTGGCTGGCGCTGTTCTGAGCACTTTACAAGTGCTGACTCAAAGCTCTCACAACTCTGTGAAATAGGTGCTGCTGTCTCTTTACAGATGAGGAAACAGGCATGGGTAGGGTGAACAGAGTGTCCATGGACACTTGGTAGGTGTGATGAAGCTAGAATTTAAACCCAGATATGGAGTAGCTACTATTAATCACCATGGAAAAGTGGTGATGGAATCAAAGGGTAATGTGAGAGTTGGGGCTAAAATAAATGGTCCAGTAAACATAATTGGTCAGTAAACATAATTATCCTTACAGGACATGCAGATTAAAACCTATGAGTCTCTTCAGATTGGCAAAAATTTTACAGTCTCATAACACCAAGTGTTTGAGAGGATGTGGAACAAATGAAACATTCATACTCGGCTGGAGAAAGTGTAAATTGGCGCAGTCACATTGGAGAGCAATTTGGCAAGGTGAAGATGTCATTCTCTGCAGCTCTTCTAGGCTCTCACCCTCCAAACTCCCGCATGTGTACTCACGAAGATGTGTAAAAGCCTTCGTTGTAGCGTTGCTTGTGAGAGTAAAGAAATGGAAGCAACCCAAATGTCCATCAGTAGGGAATGGATAAATAAATCATGGTATATTCAGACAATGGAATTCTGTGTAGCAATTACAATGAATGCTATGCTGAGTGAAAAAGCAAGTTGCAGAATGTTTTGTATGGTGTGATGTCATTTATATAATGTTCAAAAATATGCAAAATGATATGCATAGCCATAATACATAGTATGTATTAAAAATGTTTTTAAAATGCATGAGCATGTTTAACACTAGGGATGTGGCTGTCTGGGGAGGAAAAGGAGAACGAACTGGAGAAGGGAGAGGTGGTGTGTGCACAGTGGATGTCAACTGTCACGAACTCTGGAAAAGATCTGAAGTAAATTTGGCAAAATGTTAAGATTTTGTTAAGGTGGTCCCTGGGTGTTCATTATGATGTTATATTCTGTGCTTTTATGTAAAATTGAGATGTTTGATAAAAGGTGACACATTGTAATTAAATACTAACTATCAAGGATAAATGTAATCTTGAAAAGAGAAATATAAGTATTTTGAGACTAATGGTGGGGAACCTGAGGTGAGGTATGTGTGGGGAAAATGTTTCATTCCAAAATGGTCAAAGTGCTGGTGCTGGTTTTAATGACAAATAGTCATTCCAGGTCTGCAGATGTTGCTCTTGGGGAATACAAGGGAGGAGGGGCTGGCTGAGGAAGAGGTGGGTGAAACTTGCCACCTCCTGCCGCAGCTTCTCCACACTGACTCCTGCTGGCTTGAGGAACGTGTGCGGGGTGTCCCAACGCCTGGCTTGGCGGAGAGGTGGTTTTTATTCTGGTCTTCTAGTTCACTTTTCAAATGCAATTTGGTAGTTAATGGAACATTTTGAATTGATAATTGTAATTGAAGTCATTAGAAATTTCCAGTTTAGAAGAGTATCTAGAAAAAGCAATCAGACATTTATCAGTAGTTCATAGTGTGTGTGATCAGGTTTTGCCCACTTATGTTTAGTTCATTCTGTGGCGCTCACCTGCGAAAAATTAAATTTTTTTGATGGCATGTGATAAATTTTGTAAGGGGAAATGTTATTGGACAAAGGAAGCTCAGACTTGGATGCATAATGAAATTTATAGACTTGATATTTCTTTGGACCTTTTGTTATTTAACTGTGCATCATGATACTCCCATCTCCTAGATCCTAGCCTGGATAAATAGACTCCAGTGACTTCTCTGGTTTTAATTTTTTTCTGAATTTCTCTGAGACCCAGAAGTATAAATCAATTATATGTTTCTATGGGAGTTTAAAATCCTACTGTGTGCAGCTTTCATGTGGGGGTGTTGTCAGTTGAATTCCTTTACTTTCTTATTTGTGTGGTCTGTTATAAGTCACTGAATTTGCTTTTGAAGAAAACATTAATTTTTTCAGTCTTAGGGCTGCACCACTTTTAAGAAAGCACTAAGAAATGCACATTATAAAAATACAAAAGAAAGGATTAATTCGAGTCTTGCTCAATTCAGACCCATGCCTCAGTCCTTGTCTTCAGGTTCATGTGTCTGTCCCTGTTTCTACTCCTGTAAGCACTTGGGCTGAGTCAAATGAAGTTGCCATTTTTATAACTTCAGAATACAGGCAGTTTCATTGGGTTCAGTGTAATATATGCATCTTTTGTTCTTAATACCTAGGGGCAGCCATAGGCACACCATTGCATGTCTTGATTTCTTTTTTGATACTTACATCTTGGAGTCTGTTGCATATCAGTGTATCTAGTGTTTCTTGGTCTTATTCATGATTGCGTAGTCTTAATAGGTTACTCATACTTAAGTTTGTACTGATGTATATATTTTCAGTTTCAAAAATTATACAGCTCTCTAGTGATTTTTCTTTTTATATTCTACACTCAGGTAAAACATATTTGTAGAAGATTCCTGATAAAATTCTTTTATCATAACCTTTTTATGAATTGCAAAATTCCTACATACTTAATATATTG